GCAGAAGAGCTCCCTGTCATGGTATTATTCATTATTTGTATGAGGGTAGCAGCTCACAGAGTAACACACAGGCCTGACTGTTAGGGAGAATGCTCCAAAAAAACCCAGACAGGCGGTGAAAATAGCATTAGGCATGCAAACCATTTCGTTGCCTGTCACAGCGGCTGCTCCCTGCAGTGGCTGCAATGGGACCGCTCCACGCATAAAGCTACGCCCCTGTATAAGTGCTTAACGTATGGAGGCCTAGGGCAGAGTGAGAGGAACATGGTCTAATTAGAGAGACATTGCTGCAGCTTCTCTGCGAAGGCTCCACTGAGAGGGAGGCAAGAGGTAAAACAATGCGTATGTACACATAGAATTCAACTCCTGATTATTTGGAACAATATTCAAATCAGCGAACTTTAAAACTCCCCAACTTAAGCTCACCACTATAAGGCACTCTCTTTGCTTTGTGGAGACCATATTTTTGTTAAGACTGCAAATTTGTTTTCAAAATACCATTACGAATCCCCAGTTTTCTCCTAAACGTAGGATGTCAAGATCTTTGCTTTGTGGAGACCATATTTTTGTTAAAACTGCAAATTTGTTTTCAAAATACCATTATGAATCCCCAGTTTTCTGCTAAACATAAGATGTTGAGATAGCCTTGGAAGTGTGACCGGCCAAAACTGAACCAGCTCCCTGTGCTGAACCTGCAGGCAGCTGGGAACACTGGAACTCTGGGCTGTTCCACTCAGCTCAGAGAGCTGTGGAGATGCCAAAGTGCCAAGGTCTACTGTGCTGGGCATTCACACCAGCAAAATGACCCACCTAAAGCACCAGCTGTCCCAGTGCTAAAAGCTCCTGCTCTCTTCACACAGCCACCTGAAAGCTTTTATCTTCTGACACCTCCAGATTGTTCACCAGCAGCATCTGAGCATCTGGATGTGTCAATGTCTGCACCCAGGAAGCCATCCCACCACTGAAACCACTGGCGGAGGGGTGCACAGCAACTGTGCCATGCCAAGAGAATGGCCTCCCCTTCTTCTCTAGTCACATAAAGCCACCGGAGACCACACCAAAGCCAGGGCTCCTCTGCAGACCCCAGGTCCAGCCCTCTGGTACGTGGCCTAACGACTGTCACAGCAGACACCAAACCAAGGCCTCCAGCACTGCAAGGTGACAAACCAGTCCAAGTGTCAAACACTGTGGGCAGTTTGCAGTTCCTGTTATCCACAAAATCCTTTTGTGCTTGTGTACCCTTGTTTCATGCCCAGGCAAGGAACTCAGTCATATTCCAGATGCTGCTTCTTTTGGTGCTGGTAATGAGCATTTGTAGTTGTAAGCTAAATTCCTTCTGTGCTCAGAGGCCTCCAAAGTCTCCCCATCGTTCTGCTGTCCTTGTTGCACTCTCAGAAAGGCTCTCACAATTCATTTCCAACTTCAGGATAGCTTGGGGCAGAGCTCACAGCATGGGACATGCCCACTGAGGCATGAGCATCGCGATGGAGAGAGCATGTCACCCATGCAAACGCCTCCAGTCCAGCCTGGCCACAGGGTACATGCAGGGGGGTTACCAGTGCCTGGGCTCAGTGGCCAACAAGAGCTTCTCTGGGCATGTGAGGAAGCAGGAGGACACTTGGCACTGGCTAAAAACCAGCAGCAGTTCCTACAGGGAATGACGGCGCGTCCTGTGGGTTAGAAGGAACGAGCGAGTGAAAGCGAGCTGCCAGCAACTTCCAAAGGAAAGGCAGGAACCTGCTCCTTGCCACAACCTTTGGCCACAGCAGGACCGAATTCTGGCATATTGTAAGGGGTGAAGTCAGCCAAGTTCATCACTGAAGATAATATTTCCTGCCAGCTATCAGTGTCCTGGACTTAAGAGGGCGAGATGAAGATATGCAAGTAATACATATCCCAGAAAAAGGTACTGCCACGCTGTTAACAAAAGGAAAGGCTAAAAGTCATTTCCCACTCAGCCTATAACACACTGTTCAATAGTGGTCAAGTTACATGCTGCATTAAGAAAAAAAAAGAAAGGAAGCTAGGAAATTTATCAACAAAATTTAAAGTACATGGAGATATGAAGTGCAGTTTAAAAAAAGCTGTATCACTGAACTTGTCCTTCAGACAGCCCAACGTCAGGATGTACGGAATCACAAATTACACGTACACCAACAATTCTGGCAGCATAACACTACCCAACCAAAAGAGGCCGTCGACCCAGTTCCCATCAGTGTGTGTGCAGGAAGACCTCAGTTCAGTAATTTCTACACCAACTTTGACTGCAGAGCTGAGGCAATCTCAGACAGCACAGCTTTCCCTAAAGGTTAGCAGGAAAACAGAACAGACTGCAGAGAGCTGGTGTAACAGGCTTGCCACGCTGCACCAGCCAACAGGCAGAAAGCTATATTTGCACTAACTTCAGCCTCTGACTACTGTCCTGATATAGATCCTGGACACAGTGTTCATAGCCAACTAACCTCAAGGCATGAATAACGCCGCATGAGACACACACAAAAGAAATGGTAGCGTTTAGGTGCCGTCTCCATTTCACAGATGGAGAAACCAAGGTGAGGAAACTGCTTCTTTTCCCCACAGCTCTGCCAGAGTAGAAGGTATTCTCAGCACTGAATAACAAAGCAAGGAATCCTGAGGGGCTGCTGTTTCCTTATTTCACTACGTAAGAAAAAACTTGACAGTATTAAAAGCTAACAGTTTATAATGCATACAAAGAAGTGTTATATGCAAAATAGAAACCAACGATAGAAGTCACTGTAAGGAGATGCTGGTATAAACACTTCAATAGTTGCTTCTTTGCTTAAAGAAAATTGACATTTCTGCGGATAGGAAAAATTACTCTACTTGGGACACAGCTGCTAGCAGTCAGCCTCCTTGGTGCACTCAATCAGGTAATCTCAGAGAAGGTCAGGAAGAAATAGCTGCTACTGTGGATGGCAATCTCTCCCCCTCACTCCATTTTTGTGTAGTATTTGTACAGCACCAAGAGCACCAGCCTCCTGGTCCATGATGATGGCCCGGTACCGGTACAGCACCAGAGGAAACCTGTTGCTCCCGCTAAGGTGCAGATCACCAACACTGTGAGACCTGGTGTCCTGTCCCAGCAAGGCTGAAAAACTTTTCTGAGGAGAAGCAAGCTGTTTGGGTTGGGCAGGTGTGTAGGTTAAACAATCAGGGCAAATCCTGATGGCAATTAAGCAGTAATTTGTTTATCCTGCAACCAGAGAATCCATCCCCCAGCCTAGTCTGCCCATGACCCTCACAAATCAGCTCCACGGAACCTTTTTCTTTTCCCACCTCTCCACCTGTGCACTGTAGTACCACTGCTAGAAATGAGCTAAACAAACCACAGAGCTACTGCAGGGATGAAAATTTCAAAATGCATTCTGCAAATGAAAACCTGTGTGTGCCTTTTACTCCACAAGAGGAGTTATATCCACTCCCTAGCCCTTTTCTTGTAGCCTGACTTTAAAGATGAAAAAGCAGCTGTTTGCCATTTTCAGTACTTGATCTTCTTCTGCCTGTTTTGAACAAAACCAAGCCTTTTTATATGCCTCTTTCTAGCCTCTTCCAGCAAGTTTCTAAACTTCTTTTTCAAGGCAAGCCTTTCCTGCAGGAAAACTGAGTAAAATAAGATACTGTGTCTGAAGTTATATATATAAACACAATAACCACAGTCAATCCTTTATTCCTTCCCCATGTTGGTACAGCACACTGAAAACACTCTCAGAGACAAATGCGCTTTCTCAGTGCTGATCTCCACTTTATTGAAGTCCCTCAAGAAAATCCCTCAGCGTTTTAACAAAGCCAAGTGGATGCTACACCAAATAAGTGTTATGAAGACTTTACTTCTACAACTGCCACAGAAAATTGCCTGGAGGTCCTCACATTTAAATGCCATTGACATGAAGACTGTACTCTATTTTAATAAAGAGTGACCAGATAATCCAAACAGTAACTAACTTGCTGCCTCTATTTTTTCCTTCATTTTCAGAGCAGCTAAACAGCTAACATCCTAAGCACAACAGGAAGAGAGAACTTAGCTTAGCCAGAGACTATTTCTTAAAAACTTGTATGGGTTGCCTTTAACTGTAAACTACAGAATTTAACTGTAATTTAACTGTAAACTACTAGTAATTTGCAAGTTCCACTAATGTACTGCATTCTTTTTAGTTTTGAGATTTTTAAAGAGAGACAGAAACCCTGAGCCATCACAATTCATTGATTTGCCAAGGCACTTAACACTTCATTACTGCAGTCCAGTATTTTCTAATAATCAGGACTTTCAGCATAAGATACCCTTAAAATGTTACAGTATGTCAGACAACACTTAAAGACTTCTTCGTGAACAGAATTAGATCTTGTCAATGGAAAAAACTTTCTGACACGGAACTTGTTGAATAAAGAGTAAATCTTATTTGTGAAGTGAACCTTGCAGCTCGTATGAAAGCTGACACCCTTCTTCACTTCAAAGCCCCTATCACCACCTGGAACAACTTGCAACCTTGTTTATTTCAGTAATTATTAATTACTGACCTATTTATACATGTTTTACACCAAGTGCAGCTGAATTGCTACAGTCTGCTCAAGCACTCTGTGCACAGGAGTTACAGAAGAAGGATGTTTTTACACGTTTTCTGCCTTCCCATCAGAACACCGCATTTTCAATCACGACAGCTGTCAGGCGAGGCACGAACGCGATCGCCTGCTCTGCCCTGACAGCGCGGTTCGGCTGTCGGGCTACACACCCGCCACGTCCCCACGGACCCACGGGACGGTCCCGGGACCCGCCACGGCCCCCGACTCGCCATCGTCCAGGGCCCCGCTCCCACCCCCCAGCCACCTACCAGGGCCACCCGGGGGGAACCGGGAATCTCCTGCCCCACGGTCCTCCGGGACCCCCCGCCCCAGCGCTCACGGACACACACCCTTCCTCCCCTGTCCCCCGCGGTGGGTCGGGACATCCCCGCGCTTCGCGGCCAGAGCCCCCGCGCCCTCACCTGTACCACTCCAGCCCCTTCTCGTAGTTCCTGTCGAAGAAGTGGGGCTCGGTGCCCACGGCGCGCACGTCGGGGTGAGCCCGGATAGCTTCCAGCAGCGCCCGCGTACCCCCTTTCTTCACCCCGATGATGAGGGCTTGCGGCAACCGCTTCTCCCCGTAGTCCGGCGTGGTGCTGCTGCTGCTGCCTCCGCGGTTCCCCGGGCTGCCGGCCCGGCTCAGCTCCTCGTCCGTGGTGCTCGACTCCTGCGGGTCCCTCTCGAAGGCTCCGCTCTGCGCCGTGATCACCTCCCCGGGGGCCAGCGGAGTCCGCAGCCAGGCGCCCGCCGCCCCTTCACGGCTGCCGTTGGAGGCCCGTGTCGGAGCCGCGGAGGGGGCCGGGGCGCCGGTGCTGCTTGGCGGGCTGGCGGGGGAGCGCGGGGCCACCGTGCCGGGGAGCGCGGCAGGGGAACGCGGCGCCCCAGGGACCGCCGTGCCGGGAAGGGCGGCGGGGAATCTCGGGG